TATTTTGAAGTTTCTGAAATTAGGTAGGGAAATTAGTTTGTGGGCCATTTCTCCTTTGTCTTTTCAAGTTGAGTAAACACTATTTTTGGTCCAACCTCAAAACCTTTGATCATTTTAGCACCTTTCATTGACACCTCCTTCTAGTTCTGTTCTTTCTGTCTTTGCGTGTGATCAAACCATAGACACATTTTAAGTCTGACAGATGTATATTGTGGAGAGCAGCTACAGCGTTTGGACAGGTTCAAGCCTGGGACTAATGAGAGGGCACGGTCCTTCTGTGGCAAAGCCACGTGCACGTCCCAGCACAATTCTAGCCAAAGGCTATGGTTGTAAGCTTGAACCTATGGTCCAAACCTGTGGTCCCACATGGCTAAGTGATGTGGGCTGTGATGTGGGTGCAGCAAGTAAATAAAGCTTGATCAGGTGCATGTAATTGAGCAGATTCGAAACCCGCGAGAATGTTGTAAACATCTTGACCACGCCCTTACTTTGCCTCCTGGAATCTGCTAGAAAATAGACTCGGCTTGTAGTCCATGGTGCTGTCTCTCCATCAGAGAGCAGTGTCCCACCCAGACCCAGCTTTCTTCTCTTGTCTGTCTTTTCTCCATCCTTCACTGCCCCCTCTCAGGGTCACCCATGGCCATGCTGGCGCGGCACAGTATATAACGGATACCTATAGTTCAATGCCAAGGCCATCTAAAAGTCCCATCATTTTTCAATTCATCATCAACCCTAAATGTACACAAATACATTCCTGGGGCTTTTTCATTGCTATTGGTTTTATTTTTAAATATATCTTCATTGATTTCAGAGAGGAAGGGAGAGGGAGAGAGAGAAACATCAATGAGGAGAAAGATTCATTGACCAGCTGCCTCCTACACACCCCCTACTGGGGATCAAGCCAGCAATCTGGGCATGTGCCCTTGATTGGAATAGAACCCAGGATCCTTTCATCTGAAGGCTGACACTCTACCCACTGAGCCAAACCAGCTAGGGCCATTGCTATCTGTTTTAAACTGAGGCAGCAGTAAAAAGGAATACAACACATGCACAGGCTCTTAAGCTGCTACTAGTATTTGTTTTGTTGATTGATACTGTCAAATCTGAAAGAATGATTTACCTTTCTCAAAAACAGAAAAGGATGTTTTTATATAAGACCTCTAAGCTTGTAACTACCTTGAAGAAAATCAATCAATAAATAGTACACGAGTTCACCCCTCTAACTAATGGCGGGAATGGCATCCTATTCATGCTTGTGTTCCAGACTGCCCTTTCATTGTGCTTTAACCACAATAAAATGTGTTCCATTAAAATTTAATTTTCGGCTGAACCGGTTTGGCTCAGTGGATAGAGCGTCGGCCTGTGGACTGCAGGGTCCCAGGTTCGATTCCGGTCAAGGGCATGTACCTTCGTTGCGGGCACATCCCCAGTAGGGGGCGTGCAGGAGGCAGCTGATCGATTTCTCTCATTGATGTTTTTAACTCTTTATCCCTCTCCCTTCTTCTCTGTAAAAAAAATCAATAAAATATATATAAAAATGAAAAATTTAATTTTCGGAGCAAATTCTGAAGAATTGAAAATAAGGTATCATAACAAAATCAGAAAGAACAGTTAATTTAAAACTGATAGACACAGAAAACAGTATGGTGATTACCAGAGGGAAAGGGGGTGGGGGAGGTAGTTGAGGATAAAGGGGGGATAAATGGTGATGGAAGGACACTGGACTTGGGCCGGTGAACACACACTATAGTATACAGATGGTGCATTGTAGAATTGTACACCCGCAGCCTATATAATTTTATTAACCTATGTCACTCCTAACAAATCCAATACAAATTAAAAAGAGAAAATTATTTTAATACTTATATCTGTATAATAGTTCATAATGTCCAAAGTGCTTTGACATTTATTGCCTTATGTGATGGCACAATAACTGTTCTCTGTAGGCAAATATTTTCATATTTGAAGAAGCAGAGTCGCAGCAGGGGTGAGTGACCCTGGGGCCACAGCAGTGAGCAGAGGACAGAGAGTCCCAGGGCCCAGGTCTCTGATAACCCACTGCAGACTGGCCCCCTCAGGAACCACGTTTCTCCATCATCAAGGTACCCGAATCATTTGCATCTGGTAATGAGATGATATCCAATTTCTGTTCTCTCTTTCATCTCAATTTTACCATATAAAGTTTATTTTCTTTTTTAAAATATATTTTTACTACTTTCATAGAGGAAGGGAGAGGGAGAGAGAGAAATATCAATGATGAGAATCATAGATCAACTGCCACCTGCACGCCCCCTACTGGGGATCAAGCCTGTAACCTGGGCATGTGCCCTTGACCGGGAATCGAACCCTGACCTCCTGGTTCATAGGTCGACGCTCAACCACTGAGCTGGGCATAAGGCTTATTTTCTGAGGCCTTGATCCAAACTCTCACAATGAAGAATTTATTAGAAAGTAATCAAGCTTTGCCTCCAGAATAGTATTGTACTTTAATTTTGCATACTTCATTTGGTAATCAAGTTTGTATCTAAAAATCAGGATGATAATTGTAACTCTCAACATGCCTACTTTTTCTAAGAATCTCACCGATATAAATGGGTTTCTCGAAAGTTTTCTGCTACTATTAAGAAATAATCAAAAAAGCAGAAAACTGTCAATAGTTTCAACAGTTTTCTGAGTCTATTTCTTTTTTGATTTTTACTGAAATTATTGGGGTGACATGGGTAAGATGATATAGAGTTCAGGTGTACAATTGTGTCATACATCATCTGCATATGGCTTTGTGTGCCTACCACCCAAAGTCAAATCATCTTCTGTCACCATAGATTTGCCCTCCTTGACCTTAACCCCGCCACCCCTCTTCCCTCTGGTAGCCACCATGCTGGTCTGTGTCTATGGGTTTCGGTGTCAAAGTCCTTTAAATACCCTTCCGCTGGCTAAGTGCCTCTTCACACAAAGCTGCCTGACCGGGAAAAGCACTCCTGGATGCCTCCAAGAGGCTCTCATTCCCAGCGGAGAAACAAAAGCAGTTACAAGTGGGAGGAGGCTTACACTTCAATAGCCGTTAACTTGTATGTGGTAGGCAGCCCCTAAGATGGTCTCCGACATCCCTGCCTCGTGCTAGTCATGCTCTTGTATAAGCAGCCCCTTCCCCGGAGTGTGGCTTGGACTTAACTCACTTGTAAGGAACAGAATAGGGCAGAAGTGCTAGGATGTCACGTCCAAGATTAGGTTATAAAGACCGCGGCTTCTCTCAGGCTCTCCCTTCTACTTTTGTCCTCCTTCTCTGATCATTCATGCTGGGGGAGCGGGCCTCTGTGTTGTGAGCAGCCCTGTGGACAGGCCCCACAGCCAGCGAGGGGCTGAAGGCTGCCAACAACCACGTGAGTGAGCCTGGAAGAGGACCCGCCCCCCTGCCCCGCCACGGTTGGGCCTTCACATGAGATCGCAGCTCTGGATGCCGGCTTGACTGCAGTCTCCTTTTAAGCAGATGAAAATTCCCTCTTCATTGAGGGTGGGTGATCAGACATGGGCACTACATGATCATTCTTTTCTCTTTTATTTGCAGCACCTGGGCAGTTTCTAAGCCCACAGAAACGGTGAGATGATAAACGCTGCTTTGCGGTCATTCATGATATAGCAACAAATGATACGCGGTAAGAGTGTTGTAGTCACGCACCATTTAACGACGGTCAGGTTCATGACAGACCACATAGAGAGAACGGAGCTGAAAGGGCCCATTGCCTAGGCATGTGGCTGTCATGATGTCGTGGGCAGTGCATTCCTCACATATTTGTGGTGACGCTGGTTCACATGGGCCTGCGGTGCTGCCAGTCACATAAAGCACACGCACTGCACACAATTACAGCCGGAGGCCCTGGCACCAGGTGTGTGCAAGTGCACGGTTGGGTGTCTGCGCGGCGACGACATGGCCTTATGACACATTTCTCAGGATGCACCCCGTTGCTAAGTGGCAGAGGACTCGGTTAAATCAGCTATAGTTTGAGCTACAACTAATGTAACAAAAACCATGCCCAGGAATTCAATTATGAGCTTCCAGACTTTCTAATTTATCTCTGTCTCTTACATACTTTCCCTCCAGTGAGCACAACATGAAGGAAAACTCTAAAATTATCTCAATCTGAATTCCAGCTAAAAGGAAAGAATAAACCTTTATTCTTTTCTTTTAGCTGGAATTCTGATTGAGATAATTATAGAGTCCTATATAGTTTTAAGAAATAATACAGGGATCTCTTGTACACATTGCTCAATTTCTCCGCTGGTAACATTTTACAAAACGATAGTGTAATATCACAACCAGATACTGACAGTGGCACGATCTGCCTACCTCATTCAGATGGCCTTAGTTTTACTTGTACGTGTGTGTGTGTGTGTGTGTGTGTGTGTGTGTCTAATTTCTTACATACCTTTTACTTTAATCTTCTTATACTCAAATAACATCCCTTTGTAATTAAAATCTACACGTTACATGATTCTTTATAAATGTTCTTTCTGGAGGTAGAAGTTGTTAAGAGACAGGGATTCCGTATTTTATTTCATAGCTCAATGTTAATAAACTGAAAAGAGAGTCAATACCGGAAAGTAATAAAAACCGCTCACAGCTTATGTGAGTGTCAAAGGCAAATTCACTTACCCGCAGCTTTCTTGAAAGCAAACTATAAAGTAAAATGTTACCCTTCCCCCAGAATTAATGTTTGTGCTTGAAACTCATCTGTGAAATCATATTAAATGCAGTTACAATTTTAACACTGCCTCTTTGTCCTCTTATAACGGAAGTGAGAAGTTAATATTCTCGATATAGCAATGCCTCAGGAAACCAACACGCCCAAGTTTTGAAGTGATGATCCGGCAGTGTTAAAATTTGTGATTAAACATCAAAACACAGACAAGCCAAGGAAAAAGTCAAGCTGCTTATGAACCATGCAAAGCCAAACACTGGTGCATAAAAGAGAAATCTTAGAGGAAAACGAAGGGATACCTACTTTCTGCGGCTAGAAGTCCTAGGAGGAAGGCAGCATATGGACAAACGACAAACAGTATGATTTTAGAGCAAGCAGGTTATTAAGCCACAGAAGCATGGGCCCAGCTGAGCCCAAAGACAGCCCCCGTGTGGCCTGAGCACATTCAGTGGGACTGTTGGGTTTCAGGCATCCAAGTGCTGGGTTCTGATTCTGCCCTCTCTGATGGGCACGATGAGAACAGAACGTTTCCACTTTGGGTTATCAAGTAACAAAGCTACCATATGCTGTTTAGCAGAAGATTCATCGAAACAAATTCGAGTGAATATATTAAACTAATTTGAATCATCAAAATAGAAGAGAAGCTCATCTAAAAATTGCTTTACAATGTAAGCAGCATTCCTACACCTGCTAAGAGTCTTCTTTAGATGGCCAACGGGGAAGCGGATTTGTTTTAAAATTGTGATTTGAAGGAGAATTTTTGGGGAACCAGAATAGGATTGTTAGCTCTTCATGTTGCGAAACAGGTCATTAAAAAAATCGAAGTACCTGGCATGTATGATCGTTTCAGAGAAAGAATAGAAAAGGCATTAGGTAAAGATGGAAAACAGTCCATCTTAAGAAAGGGCAGTTGGTGACCTTACCCTGTTCTCTCTCTAACCCTCCTTGCCCACCCTCTCACCACCCGCCCCAAGCTCATGCTTTATGGTTAGTTTTCTCTTTTTGCCGTGAGCTTAGAGGAACTTTAACTTTTATGTGCTCTCTGTTTTGTACTGTAAACAAACCCAGGCACATGTAAACAGAGAGACAGTGCAAAGGACAACATGGGGAACTTAAAATCAATGGTGCAGAATTTAAGGATTAGAATGAAATAGAGAAGAATGTAGGTTTTAATGAATGAAAATCTTCAAAAGTAAGGATGAGATAAAAAATAAAAATGAGTTCATTTATGAAAGTGAAAGCTCTCTTGTGAATCCACTGGGACTTAGTAACCGTCCATAAGCCATGGGCTGCAGAACGGAACTTGCTGGCAGGTAGCTAGTGAGAAATAATGCTGACAAAACAGGCAGATGCCCCCTCTACATGGCCTCATTCTAGAAATTATTTTGAGGGACATCTGAATAGTTTCTGACGGCCATGGGAAAGTTTGGAAAATATTTGAATTTTCTTCAAATTTCTTCTTTGTCTTTGACGTCTAAGTAGATAAACATTCCCTCTTCATTTAGGGTAGATCAGACATGCACACTACATAATCATTCTTTTCTCTCTCTCTCTTTTTTTAATATATATTTTATTTATTTTTTACAGAGAGGAAGGGAGAGAGATAGAGAGTTAGAAACATCGATGAGAGAGGAACATCGATCAGCTGCCTCCTGCACATCTCCTACCGGGGATGTGCCCGCAACCCAGGTACATGCCCCTGACCGGAATCGAACCTGGGACCCTTCAGTCCGCAGGCCGACGCTCTATCCACTGAGCCATACCGGCTTCGGCCATTCTTTTCTCTTTTGTCTGCAGCGCCTGGACAGTGCTAGCTAAAACATTTTGAAGACATTTAGCACATCAGATGAAGATAGAGACTGCTTACAAGATCATTAAGATCCAGAAAATTTAAAAAAGACAAAAAAAAAGGGGGGGTGTGACCGCAGGAAAGGGAAGAAGAAATGCAAAACCAAGCGACTAATTGAGGTGCGGGCTTGTGGGCTCACTGCTGGGCAGGGTAAGAAATGTCACTTTTGCTTAAAAAGCAAGTACTGTAATCAGACAAGATTTCAAGCACACCATTTAGAGGCTGCAGTGGAAAAGAGGAGACGCTGGGCAACAGAAGTGAATTTAATAGGAAGTGAGCTTGTCTGTAAGGAAGGACGTGCTTTCCTGGTGCGGAAAGGGAAGGCCAGCTTTGCACAGACAGGAAATGGAGCTCAGGATGGTCTCGCATTAAGGGGACGCATGAGCGACCAGGGCCATGAAGCCCTTACAGGGACCACACGGCTCTGCAGGTCCATGTCTCAAGATGGAAATGGTATTAGAGGCTTTGATCGAAAAAAACTCGAAATACAGCCCACGTATGTGACTATGTCATGCAGTCCCAGTGCAACATAACACCATTACTGGAGCTGCTCCCTGGAGACAGGGCCAACTGTAAACGGAGTGGGAGGCCCGGCCGGCGTGGCTCAGGGATTGACCGTTGATCTATGAACCAGGAGGTCACAGTTTGATTCCCGGTCAAGGGCACAGGCCCCGGTTGTGGGCTCCATCCCCAGTAGGGGGTGTGCAGGGGGCAGCCGGTCCATGAGTCTATCATTGATGTTTCTCTCTCAATATTTCTCTCTCTCTCTCTCTCTCTCTCTCTCTCTCTCTCTCTCTCTCTCTCTCTCTTCCTCTCTGATATCAATTAAAAAAAAACAAAAAAACCTGATCTTGGAATTAAGCAAACAAACAGACAAAAAAAAAAAGGATTTAAAAAAATAAAAAAATAAATCGAGTATGAGAAGAGAAGGGCTGACAGGACACTATCGGGAGCCCGGGACCCTATCCGTAAACTCCACCAGGGCCGTGCCTTCCCGTGGGAGGGGCTCTGGGCATTACCAAGTCAGAACAAGAGGCAGACAGCCCGGCCTCCTCCGCGGTCTCTTCTCTAAGATTCCCACTTCTGAGTGTTTTGGGAAATCACCTACACTCAGAAGAGGAAGCGTCACATCCCAATTGCTAAGAGTCAAAATGAGGAACTACAGGGGTGGGCAAAAGGTAGGTGCTGAGTTGTTCATATTGAAAAGAACACAGTGATTAATAAATAACCAGACGAGAATAAATCCTGGGTTTCGTGTACTCACAACTGTCAGCCTACTTTTGCCCCAGCCTGTGTAGAGCTGCCGCCAGGGGAACTGTGAGCCTGGTATTCTGCACAAGGTGGAAGCATGTGCGCACATGTATGAACAGAGGGGAGGAGCACAGGGAAGGATAAGCAGCTCATGCTTCAGGAAGGGCCTGGGCCGGATTCCGATGGTGCTCTATGAACATTGAATGAGCCGGTTCAAGAGTACAAAAATCAAGTCAACAGGCAAAGTCAACCACGTGGCAAACACTGAGGGGCTTTAATGAAAGAAGGAAAGGCAGAGGGCAGAGGACATATGAAGCAGGAGTTAAATTAATAAAGAAATACATAAAATTAAAAACTATTACACACATGCATTTATCCTATATAATAAAAACCTAATATGCTAAGTGTCCGGTCATCCAGTTGATCAGGCCTAAGCTGGCAGACGGACATCCCCCAAGGGGTCCTGGACTGTGAGAGGGCGCAGGCCGGGCTGAGGGACACCCCCTTCAGTGCACGAATTTCATGAACTGGGCCTCTAGTATATACATATATATGGATCCCATAGATTTTTTTAGTAAGTGGTACTTGAGAATATCTCACTGGTAAGATGAAAATCTGAGCATTTTATAATATAATTTTGTGAACACTGTTGGGCATTTCAGAAATACATACCTACACATACATTTCATCGAAATAGGTAACTCTTCTATGTTCTTCTCCCGTGAATGCTTGAATACACGTGTTAGAGACTTTATAAAAAGAGAAGAACCTGGAAATTGTTTCAAGAGATAACTCACAAGACAGCTTTACATGGAAAGATTCCATTAAAAGCAGTGTTGTGGCAAAGTCTGATCTGCTATGGTTGACAGGGGGGAAATCTTACACCAGAACTTTTTATTGAGGTCCAAGGTAATCAGAAAGATCCAAAAAGATGGATTACGGTGTGGGATGGATGAAGTGCAACCCTGGGTCTGGAGTGGCGGAAGGGGAAGAAGCATTCTGAGGTGAAAAGAAACAAGTGAAATGAAAAGGAACCAGACACATGTGGATAGTATTTGGTTGTTGATAGACTTCCTTAGAATCGCTTAGAGGACCTGACTAGTTCCACCGAAAAAGGCCGATTCCGAATGGAAGAGAAAGGCGAATGGATGGATGGCCCAGTTACCTGAGGAGGTAGGGTCTTCGGAGAAATCTGGCAACTCTTCAGGGGGGTCCCCATAGAATGAGTTGAATTTGTGACTTGACACAGCTGCTAGGACGGCACCCTGAAGCAAAGAGATGAAAAAACTAAAATAAATACATAAATGTAAAAATTAATTAACAAATGGTTACTTACTAGTAAGGATTATTTAGGAAAGTCAACTATATAAAACATGACAACTAGAAAAGATGTAGTTTTAAAGAATTTCCTTTTAAAAAATATATCTTTATTGATTTCAGAGAGAAAGGGAGAGGGAGGGAGAGATAGAAACATCAGTGATGACAGAGAATCATGGATCGGCTGCCTCCTGCACGCCCCAGACTGGGGATTGAGCCCGCAACCTGGGCCTGTGCCCTGACTGGGAATCAAACCATGACCTCCTGGTTCATAGGTTGATGCTCAAGCACTGAGCTAGGATAGCCGGGGTAGTTGTAAATAGTTTTTGACTCCTTCAAATCAATCACATGTGCATGTACCAGAATAACACTGTTGGGGATTGCAAAAGTATATGCGACCATTTACATCTGGAACTCAAACACATACCACAAACGGAATACTCTGCAGTCTCTATAAAAAGATGCTGCAGAGGAATGTCTAAAGAAATGGAAAGATGCTTGTGATGAATGACATAAAAGAGCTTTAGAACAATCTATAGTATGGTCTCATTTTTGGAAAAAAGGGTTAATCTATATATATAAAAGGCTAATATGCAAAGTGTTCTCTTGGGAGTTTGACTGGGAGTTTGGTCGCTCACAATGATGTGTGCTGACCACCAGGGGATGGTGCGGAACAAAGGAAGGCCCTGGCCAGCAGCCGGCAGCCAGGGAAGGAAGGCCCCAGCCAGTAGCCAGAAGGAAGGCCCTGATAGTCGGCCAGGCCTAGGGACCCTACCTGTGCATGAATTTTGTGCACTGGGCCTCTAGTATAGATAAAAGAGACTGAACATATACCAAAATGTTATCAGCAATAATGATCTCTGGGTAGTAGGAATATGAGGCACTTTTCTTTTTTTAAGCCTTTCCCCCCTTTCCTTTTGTTGTTAACAATGACTATGTGTTGCTCTTTTTTTAAAAAAATATATTTTATTGATTCTTACAGAGAGGAAGGGAGAGGGATAGAGATTTAGAAACATCGATCAGCTGCCTCCTGCATGCTCCCCACTGGGGATGTGCCCGCAACCAAGGTACATGCCCTTGACCGGAATCGAACCTGGGACCCCTAAGACCGCAGGCTGACGCTCTATCCACTGAGCCACACCGGTTAGGGCTGTGTTGGTCTTGTCGGACCACACAGAAGAACCAAGTACACATGACTCTTTTAAACCGCACGCACAGCCTCTCCTGACTCCTAGTGAGTCATACTGCGTGCACGACATCCCTCAGGACTGCTGGGCGGAAAATGGCTGGGAATTGTTGCAGTAACTAGAAAAACCATAAAAGTTATTTTGTAAAAATGTTCCACTCTTCGGGTGTGTTCCTTGGCTCTGCCAATCACTTAACCCCTTAGCGTAGGGTCGTCAAAAGTCATAATGTCTGAAAGTGTCCGCAATCTGTAAAGCAGTTTGGAAATGCAAATAATTACGAACCCTACATAGCTAGAACATGAGCACAGCCCTTGGCTGCTCATTTAGGCAATCTCAGTATCAATGCCTTGAAGTAGGCTTACATCTAAAATATTGAACTCTTCGGTTTTTCTGAAAAGAAAGAGAAATCTTTTAATTTAATTTTTATTTATTTCAGAGAGGAAGGGAGAGGGACAGAGAGAGACAGAAACATCAATGATGAGAGAGAATCATTGATGAGCCCGAAACCTGGGTACGTGCCCTTGACCAGAATCGAACCTGGGACCCTTCAGTCCACAGGCCGACGCTCTATCCACTGAGCCAAACCAGCTAGGGCAGAAAGAAAAATCTTTTATGTTTACAGGCATATAATAAATATATGAAAACATTAATAGAAATACATTTCTTCAAGATTCTTTTTTTGTGTGTGGGGGGGAGGAATCATGTTAGGGTTTCTTTCTTTTTTTAATCCTCACCTGAGGATATTTTTTCCATTGATTTCCAGAGCGAGTGGCAGAGAGGGGGAGAGAGAAACATCTACACGAGCGAGATAACTGGTTGCCTCCCACATGCCCCCCTATCAGGGCTGGGGAACCTGAAAGCAAGGTACGTGCCCTTGACAGGGAACCGAGCCCACGACCCCTTTAGTCCACGGGCCAACGTGCTAATCACTGAGAAAACCAGCCAGGACTGGGTTTCTTTCTAAAAAATAGAAATGGAAAGAGACAGACTGCAGAAAGGGAAGAACAAAAAACAGAAAAGTGATCTTGGTGCTACCATTCCAGGCAACGTTTTAGATTTCTCGAAGTCTAGGGTTAATGCATGAGAGGTTCTTATGCAGAATTTGATGAAAATGTTGAGTTCTTCTTTTCTACAGCTGACGCTTATTTCACTTCACATATTGCATATGTTCCCTAAAAGCTGGGTGGGAATGGAATTTTTCTGAATCAAATCATGATTCCCACCCACAGAAACTAAAATTTTAGAGATGCTTTATTTTTACATCCAATTGAAGTTCAATTCAGTTTCTTAGTACTGAAGTGAAAGATCTAGAAATATTTATACTATTAAAAAATTCTTTTATAACAATAGCAGCAAGTTCCTAATTTATCAGTCACGTGGCTAGGTTTGTTTATTTAGTTTCCTAAACTTAGTGACTGCGTGTGGTTTGAATTTTCAACACAAAGCTATTAGCAAATCAGCAAAATGGTCCCAAACTCTTTATAGATTTACTAGAGGCGGGGTGCATGAAATTCGTGCATGGGAGGGTGTCCCTCAGCCTGGCCTGCCCCCTCTCAATCTGGGACCCCCTGGGGGATGTCCAACTGCTGGTTTAGGCCCGACCCCACAGGCCCAATAGCCTGCCTGCCTGATCATCCCTAACCACTCGCCTGCCTGATCGCCCCAACCACTCTGCCTGCCTACCTGATTGCCCCTAACCACTCCCTGCCTGACTGCCCCTAACTGCTCACCTGCTTGCCTGATTGCTCCTAACTACCTCTGCCTTGGCCCCTGCCGCCGCAGCTTTGTCCGGAAGGATGTCTGGAATAACGTCCGGAAGGTCGTTCGGCTGTCTGGTCTAATTAGCATATTGTGCTTTTATTGTTACAGACAGAATTTTATTAGAGTTTGAGATTCAAGCTTAGAGATGATTAATTCTAAAAGACTCATTTTGCAGATGAGGAAGCTGAGTTCAGAGCGGCTTGGCAACTTTGAGATAGAGCCAAGAGTAGACAGAATTGAGGTCCTCTAACTACTCTCCCCAAATCAAGGGTTATTACTATACCATGGGTCAATAATCTTTTTTTTTTCTGTAAAGGGCCAGAGAGTAAATATTTTAGGGTTGAAGGCCATATGTTTTATGTTGCAACTACTCAACTCTGCCATTATAGTGTGAAAGCAGCCACAGACAATACATACATCAATGTACATGCTGTGTTTCAATAAAACTTTTTATGTAAAAATAGGTGGTGTGCCAGATTTGGTCCCCAGTTCGTAGTTTGCTAACCCCTATAGCTATTAAAGAGATCATATCTTATACAAGTAGTTATTCAAACTGCCTGCTTTATTAAATCCTTGATAAAAAAATTTCTAATTTAGTAGGCATACTTTAGTTTGTTTTGAGAGTAAAACATATCAATTTGAATTAAGAAAATTATTCACAATATGTTAAGATATTAAAGATGCAATTTTCTACTGAGCAAATTAATCCAGAAAGGAGAAGGTCGATTCTAAACTCAAAGAAAAAGACAACTACAAGTAATTAATTCTTAACTTAATCATAGTTATAGCTCATCTGCCAACCATCAAAATGGAATGCTCGCCGCTAAATGATTCTGTGTTTCATTTAAGGAAGTGAAAACAAGAAAATACTTAGCTCAGACTTCTGCTAAGTTAAACTACTCCATGCACTTAAGGAGGCAACCAAGTTAGTAAGTGAGGAAGACGAGAGTTGAACACAGATATATCGCTGACTTGAAGACAAGAGCAAAAAACCAACACGTACTCCATTTTTGGTGCCCCTAACTGAGCTCAGAAACCATGAAGTTCGATAGCCACAAGGGCAGGTGCATTCTAACAAGTCTAAATACAAGACACACAGTATAAGATGTAGAATAACTGGATTTATACTCAAGTAGCAAGGTCACCCACAGTCATAGTGTAATATACCGAGGGGGGGTAGCCCATCCAGGGACATAAAAATAGGAGTGCAACACAGAATTCAAGAGAGGGTCATCTTATACGGATGCAGAACACTGCAGTCAAAGCCTTAAACTGGGAGAGGGCGAGGCTGAACGGAGACAACCAAAAGGCTGGAAAGTCAGCCCAAGGGTTTTGGTTGATTACATGTAAAAATTAGGTCCTAAATGGAAGGGAGGGCGAAGAGACACACAGAGAGAGAAACATCGATGTGAGAGAGACACATCAATCGATTGCCTCCTGCATGAGCCCCAAGCCCCAACTGGGGCTGGGGACCAAGCTTGCATCTGAGGTACGTGCCCTTGACTGGAACTGAACCCACGACCCTTCAGTCCTTGGGTGACACTAAGCACTGAGCAAAACCAGCCAGGGCTAATATTAATAAACTAGAGGCCCGGTGCATGAATTCATGCACCAGTGGGGTCTCTTGGCCTGGCTTGCGGAACGGGGCTGAAACCGGCTCTCTGACATCCCCGAGGGGTCCCAGATTGCAGAGGGCACAGGCCAGGCCGAGAGACCCCACTGGTGCACGGTGCACGATCGGGGCCAGGGAGGTACGCGGGAGGTTGGCCAGCTGGGGAGGGACTGCGGGAGGGCTCCAGGGCATGTCCGGCCCGTCTCACTCAGTCCTGAATGGCCGGACCCCTGCAGCAAGCTAACCTACTGGTTGGAGCGTCTGCCCCCGGTGGCCAGTGCACATCATAGTGAGTGGTTGAGTGGCCTTAGCATATTATTAGCATATTATGCTTTGATTGGTTGACTGGACGACTGGACACTTAGCATATTAGGCTTTTATTATATAGGATTAAAATTAAAATGTAAGTAGCTACACACAGCTGGAGGCTGCTGCACTGGGCGGTGCAGTTCTATGAAGTCCTGGAAAACAGCGTTCTTAAGCAAACTTTCTAGTTCGCGCAGTTCAGGAGCCCCAGAGACCAATGCATTGGTAAGTCAGGGATGCATGCAGACGATACTTCTGCAATTTGCAAAACCAATAAAAGAAAATTGTAGAAAGTTATCAGGTATCAGACATCTCCCTCACTTTCTGTGTATACAAGGAATACGTGATTTTGTCCCCTACATTCGATCACATGGCTTCAGCTCACCATGGCCTGAATGGACCGCAACAAACCTACCCAAATACAGACTCTTGCTTCTATTTATACAGAAGTTCTTCAACATACTCCACTGCAGGGGGACTTGCTTGCTAAATATAGAAATGATTCTTGAAGCAAAGGGAACGCTTTCTAGAACAGACTCACTCCTGAGCCCCTTCCCTCGGGAGACAAGTTCACACACTCACAGACCTCCCCGCTTTCCACCTCCGCGTCTTGCTTAGCACCTCCTTCTAGCACGTGACAGCCAGGGTTAGAGCAAGGGGTGCCTCCTTAAGACACATAGGGCACAGGTTTTCTAGATCTGGATGGCGGTCTGTCCCACGCATCCTGATATTCACTGTGAGAAAATATGACCCTCATCATATCTAGTCTCACGCTCAGGGCTGGGCAGTTTTGTTAAAGGGAGTATTGTGTCCAGAGGATTTTAAAAAATGGAAGTCTGTAAATTCTAGAGCTTAGCGTTCAATAAAAGGGCACCCCTCCCAAACCAACATATGAAATGTCTGGCAACCAAAATGGGGAAAAGGAATTGTCCATCATCATTCACAGATGTCAAATCAAGTGATAAAATAAAGAAAAAGAAGTGGACGATGGGAATTCAAATCACAGGCAGGGCTCCATAAATGCTGAAAAAAAAATCTAGTTTGAAACACAGTCTGAGAATGATGAGTGCTTTCTGTTTATCCACACCGTGTTTGCATCAGGGATTTCGTGTCTCCCGGAGTGTGCCGTAGAGGTGAAATGCCAGAACGGAAGTGCAGCTGTGGAGAGCAACAACTTCTGATGGTGGAGTGCTGATACTGAGGAACTGTCTTGAAATGCCAGCAAAGTGAGTACTGTTTTATATTCTGGCAGGGAGTAAAACTTTCTGAATGAGGAAGGGGTTGCAAAAACGATAAACTTGTTAGCCAAAACACCTGTTTGGGTATAAGCCTTTTGGGAGGGCAAGTTATTTATAGAGATCAAAAATCTTAAATACAGCCCTGGCTGGCGTGGCTCAGTTGGTTGAGCCTCATCGGAAAGGTAACCTGTTTGGTTCCTGACCAGGGCACCTGCCCAGGTTACGGGTTCGGTCCCCAGTTGGGGTGCGTAATGGAGGCAACCCATCAATGCTTCTCTCTCACATTGATGTTTCCCCCTCTCTAAAATAAATACGAACACTTAAAAAAAAATCAAAAATACATGTGTACACTTTGATGCCAACAATTCCAGTAGCGGAGAACTTACCTAAGAATATAGTCAGAGTTATACAAAGATTTGCGAATGAAGACAGCCGTGCAAGTGTTTATGGCCATGGGAAACTAGAAGCCATCTCCACGTCTAACCATTGCAGTTTGTGCTTCAGAGCTGTAACTCCCAATAAGCTGGGCATGTCAGAATCAATCACCCCTGGAGCTTTTCCTATAAACACACCGCCCTCCAACCTGCATGCCTGGGGCTGAGGGAGGACGTGGGGCTCTCTCAGATGAGCTAAGTGGCGCAGTGAGCCACTGCTACTATGGGCATGTGTCCTATCCTTCGAGCGTGCCACAGTGAAAGCCAGTATTTAAGCATATTTTGTGCCCGGCCAGTGTGGCTCAGTGGTTGAGCATCGACCCATGAACCAAGAGGTCACTGATTCGATTCCCTGTCAGGACACAGGCCCGGGTTTTGGACTTGATCCCCAGGAGGAGGTGTGTAGGAGGCAGCTGATCAGTGTTTCCTTTACTCTGTCCCTCTCCCTTCCTCTCTCTAAAATCAACAAAAACATTTTCAAAGAAGAATATTTTGTCACATGGCATAAAAAATCAGGCTATGTGAAATTCACATAACAGAAAAGTAACCATTTTAAAGTGTGCAATACGGTGACCTTGCATCCTGTAACCTTGCTACACTTATTTCTAATAGTTTTTTGAAGATTCCTTAGGATTTTTCTATATGCGGAATCATGCCATCTATAAACAAAGACAATTTTCCTTTCTTTCCGATCTGGCTGCCTTTTATTTTGTTTTCTTGCTTAACTGTATAGAGTACCAAATCAAAGGTATTGACATTAAAATAATAATAAAACAGTAACAACAATAATGTTTACAAATAATATCTATGGAGCACTTACTACGGCTGTGTACGCTGCTAACTGCTGCAATGTCTTAATTCCTTACAAGCTTACAACAACCTTTGAGTCAGCTCTTATCCTTATCCCCATTTTATAGAGAAGGAAGTTGAGGCCCAGAGTGTTGAAATGACTTGCTCAAGTCTACACAGCTTGGAAGGGTCAGAGCCACGATTCACCTAAGGCCGTGGTCGGCAAACTGCGGCTCGCGAGCCACAGGCGGCTCTTTGGCCCCTTGAGTGTGGCTCTTCCTAAGCCTTAGGAGTCCTCCAATGAAGTGAATCACAATGTCCCTACCTATATAGTTTAAGTTTAAAAAATGTGGCTCTCCAAAGAAATTTCCATCGTGGTACTGTTGGTATTTGGCTCTGTTGACTAATGAGCTTGCCGACCACGGCCCTAGGCACTGTCGCTGCAAAGCCCGCTGTTTCCCACCACCATAAAGCTCCCCTCTGACTGGGAGCAAAAGCAGTTCTCTCCTGCTTCCTGTGAACCTCCCTTTTGCTCATCTCAAAGGGAGTCGGCCAGACTCGGGGGTTGCCCTCCATCCGAGAAGCCTAACCCCGGCGTCTGGGAGGAGGGATGGATGCGCAGCTGCTCATTTGGGAAGAGCTGTGAGGGGGGCTCTGGGAGCCGGGGAGATGGCGGCAGAGGCAGCATGCGGACAAGGGCTTCCCAGGGGCTGCATCACCCGAAGGCGCACAGCTGTCGCAGAGGCTCAGACACCCCTCACTCTGCTGATGTTCCCGATTCAAGGTTGTTTGGTGGGTCAGGAAGCTTGAAATATCCCTGCAGAGGGATGTGGTCAGTTCACATGACTCCTTTCTGCTGTGACAGCTCGGCTCTGGCCAAATCGATCTTAGTCACCATGTGGGCTATTTCAGGCCCGAGTCTGTGGGGCTGGGAGAAATACAGCCCAGGTTTCTTTTTTTTTTAAAATATGTTTTACTGATTTTTTACTGAGAGGAAGGGAGAGGGATAGAGAGTCAGAAACATCGATGAGAGAGAAACATCGATCAGCTGCCTCCTGCACACTCCCTACTGGGGATGTGCCCGCAACCAAGGTACATGCCCTTGACCGGAATCGAACCCAGGCCCCTCCAGTCCGCAGGCCGACGCTCAATCAGTGAGCCAAACCGGTTAGGGCCAGCCCAGGTTTCTTGTGATGGGCGAACCTGAGCCCTCGATAAAAGGCCTGCATGTGGGCAATGGACGGCTGCACTCCAGACCGAGGAACGACACAAGGGCCAAAGCCCAGCATTAGAGTCAAGAAGACTTTAGGGAAGAATTGAGGATGTAGCATAATTAATGTTTCTTGGGGCGGGGAGAAGTAACTTCAAAAACAGCTGACCAGCCCTAGCTGGGTCGTCCAGTGGTTAGAGCGTTGGCCCCGTGGACCAAAGGCTCATGGGTTTGATTCTCGGTCAAGGGCACATACCTGGGTTGCAGGATTGATCCCCCCACAGCGTGCGCAGGCAACCAATTGATGTGTCTCTCACAGCGAGGTCGCCACCCCCCCCCCCCCCGCCCCTTCCATCAACTTCCACTCTCTCTAAAAATCATGGAAAAATATCCTCAGGTGAGGATTAAAACAAAAACCAAAACCAGAAAAAAAGCTGACCAAAATTCACTTTGGATAATAAGATTTTTTTCTTTCGTAGGCTATACCGGTTCAGGTGTATAGCAAAGCTAAGAAATTCAAGTCCTGGGAAACTTCTTCGGTGCCATCTTAATAATTATTTTTTTGCCAAGGACTTGTAAAACAGAGAAAAGAGCCAGTGTGAGAAAACGTGGCCTAGATTCATCTTCAATAATAATGGATAATAAGTCAGTTACTATTTTTAAAGCAATTTTACCTCTGCTATGAATTTGAAAAAACATACAAATTTAAAATATGACTTATCTTCATTTATTAAAACTTACTGTTTAGATTCATACTTAGGGATTACCGTACATGATTTAAAAAAAATCAAAATCTTATTGAAATGGTGGTAATTTCTGGAACTGAGAATTTAGCTAGAAAAACAATGGTCAGCACTGGGATATATTCATGGGCCCCAGAACATAATACAAACATGATCATCAACTGCATGTCTGGCTTTTAAAATACATATCTTTTTATTGATTTCAGAGTGGAGGGAGAGGGAGGGAGAGAGGGAAACATCAATGATGAGAATCATTGATCAGCTGCCTCCCGCACGCCCCCTACTGGGGATTGAGCCCGAAACCTGGGCATGTGTCCTGACCAGGTATGGAACCCTGACCTCCTGGTTCATAGGTCGACGCTCAATCACTGAGCCACGCCGGCTGGGCTCTGTCTGGCGTTTTGACGATTTCTTTAATTTACCTTTAGTTTCCTCCTTGCATTGAATTTCCTCAGCTGCTCTACTGTTTCCGGAAGATGAATCTTGTAGGCATAACGATCTCTCTCCTATAAAAACAAGACAATGAACATCCGTAACTGTTTAAAAAAGTGAGAAGCTTAACCTAAAACAAACGCTAAAGCCCAAATTCTTAAATGTGAAACATTGAATTCTAGGAGACTGGAGATTTTAGTTCATGATTCTGGTAAACATTCCCAAATGAAGCATATGAAGATCAAGACGAAGAGAAAAATCATATTTTATTTTCAGCAATAATAAAGGGCTGAAAGAACAAGTCATATAATTCTCAGATATATGGCTAAAATAATTTATCACATGATGATGAAGGTATGAAGTTACCTTTGACATGATCTTGTTGGATAAAATGAGCATTTGAAAATTAACTTCATCACTGATCCCGCATTCTGAGTTGTGAGGAATACTTGGATTTAAAAATCACAGTATCTTCGAACTAGAACAAACTTCAACACCATCTAATTCCACCATTTCCCCTTCAGTCCCCGGTGGGTGAGTGTCCAGTAGGAGAGCATTCTTTTATGGCAGCCCATTAAAATTTTAAGAAAGTGAAAAAGTTCTTTTTTTTTCTTCTTAATCCTCTCCCGAGGAAGGGAGAGGGAGAGAGAGAGAGAAACATCAACGATGACAGAGAACCACGGATCGGCTGCCTCCCGCACGCCCCCTACTGGAGATCGCACCTGCCACCAGGTATGACTGGGAATCGAACCTGCGACCTCCTGGCTCATGGGTGGCCGCTCAACCAGGGAGCCATGCCAGCCGGGCTCGACTCAGATGATCCGGTGGGAGGGCCACCTTCGAGGGCAGTCACTGCTGTCGCCGGGAGTGCTCCCACCCAGGGCAGGAGGCCGCGTACCTTAAGCCAGGGGTGATTCAGGGCTTCGTAGACGGTGATGCGCTCGGCCGGGTCCAGCATCAGCATGCGCCGCACCAGGTCTTTGGCACTTTCCGAGATGTGGCTCCACTGCCTGGGGTTCATCTGGGCAGGGCGACAGGGACAGGGGCAGGACAGTTAGTTACAGGGAGAAGGCCGCATCCGCTGTCGTTTGACATCCCTCTCCCGTGTCCACGTCCGTGAAATTCTCAGAGCAAATAGCAGAAATCTACCCTGAGTGGCCAGATGATGACGCCCACCCCCTCAGTCCTTCATCGACGCTTCCAAAAATACCGGATACTGAAAACTTCCTAAGCAAATACTCCCCAGGTTTTATTATTATTATTATTTGCATAACGAATTCACTTCATTGTACTGATGGGGTGGTCATCGTCACCTGGCCACTCAGTGTAACTCGAAAGGCTTGTTTGATAAGGAGGACGACAAAGGTAGAGCTTTCCTTGTTGCTCATTATATGAGAGTTTGCATCAGCAAATACTCCTTACGTATGTTCTGGTTATTACACGTTATATTTTTAATAATTGAAAAAGAGAATGTTTATGATTCCAATTTTTACCTCAGCTAGAGAGACTAGAATACTTTGACCTCGAAAGGACTAAAAGAACATTTCAAAATGAAAAATGGTATTTTTTACATTTAAATTTTATTTAAACCTCTGACATTATTTGGTCTGGCCCTACCAAGGCATTAGGGGTGAATTAATTAAATGTTTGACCAAATATAGCAGGCTAATTAAAAAACACATATATTTATTGATTTCAGAGAGGAAGGGAGGGAGAGAGAGATAGGAACATCAATGATGAGAGAGGATCATGGATGGGCTGCCTCCTCCATGCCCCCCACTGGCGATCGAGCCCGCAACCCGGGCATGTGCCCCTGACCAGAATCGAACCCAGGATCCTTCAGTCTGCACGCTGACGCTCTAGCCACTGAGCAACACCAGCCAGGGCCAGGCTAGTTTTTAAGTAGATAGTTTTGTATGGTCCAGGAACGATGTAACTATCCAAACAGCCCTCGGAGTTTCAGGAGCTGCTGGTTAAGCCTGAAGGCCTGGCCCTTGGGAGCGCGTTTGAGAAACCCGAGCACGCTGGTAAGGTTCCTGGAGCAGGGGTTGAGAAGTGTACTTCCCCGTCCTCCTTATGAGGGGCCCAGTCTGGGGTTTCCTCTTCCTTTGGCTCTGCAGAGGAGCTGAAATCAATGTGGGGGGTTGAGTATATGAGGGGGAACAAACCAGGCTATAAAACAGTCACTAACTAATTAAGTAACTAACTAATTAATTATCTTTTTCTTTTTAAACACAGTCACTTATTTAAATACAAAAGCCAGGCAGTTTAGACTTCAGCGGTGTAGGATACCGACTACCTCTAACAATGATGTAAGATGATACTGCGCCTTCTACATTTGGGAAATATATTTTTGTCCTTTATAAAGAAGTTACTTGAACAGACTCATAGATATGGAGAAGTCACTGAGGGCTGCCAGAGGAGAGGGAGGCTAAGGTGCTGGGTGAAAAAGGTGAAGAGATTAATAACTAAAAATTGGTAGTTACCAATAGCTGGGGGATGGAAAGTGCAGCATAGGGAATGGTATTGCAATACTATGTACGGGGCCAGGCGGGTCCTAGCTTTCCTGGGCGGGGGGCAGGGGGGGATCACTTCATAAATTATATAACTAATCACTATGCTGTACACCTGCAGCTAATCTATATATATAAAAGGCTAATATGCAAAGTGTTCCCTTGGGAGTTCGATCTGGAGACCGGGAATTTGATTGCTCATTATGACATGCACTGACCACCAGAGGGTGGCGCGGAACGAAGGAAGGCCTGGGCCGGTGGCCGGCAGCTGGGGAAGGAAGGCACCGGCTGGCAGCCGGAAGGCCCCGATGGGCCCTGATCGCCAGCCAGGCCTAGGGACCCTACCCATGCACGAATTTCATGCACTGGGCCTCTAGTATAAAATAATATTGAAAACAAATTGAATGTCAACTGTAATTGAAAAAAAAAGTTAACTGAAATTAAATATTAGCCTACAATCCAGTTAAATAGTATTTTCTCACATCTACTTAAAAAATCAATGAGAATAAAAAGTTAAATTAAAATAACTTAAGAGCAGTAGTAGTTTGTAAACTATGATAACGTAAATGTACTACATTTGAGAGATGTCATAACAATTTCTTGAAAATACCCGTAGAGGTCAGGATATTGATAACAGTTCTGTTAAGGACCACCAGGGTGATAAAATGATATTTTTGAGATCTGTTTCAAAAGAATCTAGTAGGATGTGGAATACGGACAACATAAGATGGGCTGGACGGTGATAAGCATTGTAGCTGGGTGCCATCAGACTGCTCTCTCCACTGCTTTTGTTTGTTTGAACTTTTCCATAATAAAAAGTGTAGACATAAGTGCTGACAGATCATAGCACTGTGCACTTAAACAAATGCACGAGGCGCATCACTGATGGGAGAGATGAATCTAGACTTGACACTGAGCTGCTGAAAACCTGCGGCTTTTGTGAGAAAAGTCATGGAGAGAGGCAAGAGGTGAGGTTGGTCAAGTGAAGGTGCAGCTACATTATTAACCTCAAAGCTTCAAGCCTTCAGGTACAGAAATGAGGAGCCAGCTGCCCCATCCATCTGACTTACGATGAAGATGCGAACAGGGACTTTTAAAATCATGTAATTTCTGTACACGTGTGAACGGTCCAAGTGTCTTACAAAGAAACAAAAATACTATTAAATGCTTTAAACACGGACGAAATCGAATACCAGAAGCTGCTGGAAGGAAGCACATTGCCTTGGAAAAAGGAAGTTAGCAACTGAAGAGACACAAAGGAAGAGCTTTATTATTAGCAAATACTTGTAACTCCCCAGGCTTCAGCTTTCGGATTTAGGAATAAGGCTGTGACTCTGAAACTGCTTTGCCTTTCCTTTCTTTTTTTTTCTTCCCCCTTTTCTCTACCTTTTCCCAAGTCCCATATAAAATTCTAACATTACTAAAGAATTGAACAACAAAATAGATCCAGAGGTATAGAAGCACAGAACAGAATCTGGATTCTCAGAGGTAAGGTGGGGGGAGGGTGGGTGGGTGGGAAGAGATTAACCAAAAACTTGTATGTGGATATATAAATCCATACTAATAAAAGGGTAGTATGCTAATTAGACCAGGAGACCTTCCGGACAAAGCCATGGTGGTGGGGCTGAGGCAGGAGCAGTTAGGGGCGGTCAGGCCAGCGGGGCGGGGGGGTGCGGGGGAGGGGCGGCGCATAGTTGGGGGTGAGCAGGCTGGCGGGGGGGCCAGTTGGGGGTGAATAGTTGGGGGCGAGCAGGCAGGCAGGTGAGTGGTTAGGAGCCAGCGGTCCCAGATTGCAAGAGGGATGTCCGACTGCTGGTTTAGGCCTGATCCCAAACCGGCAGTTGGACATCCCTTGAGGGGTCCCAGATTGGAGAGGGTGCAGGCCAGGCTGAGGGACACTCCCCCGCCCCCCTGCACGAATTTCATGCACCGGGCCACTTGTGTGTGTGTGTGTGTGTGTGTGTGTGTGTGTGTGTGTATCCCATGGACACAGATAATAGGGTGGTGAGGGTGAGGGCCTGGGGTGGCGGGGGGTAGGGGGATGGGGCAGGCTAGAAGGGGTCAATGGGGGAAAAAGGGGGACATAGGTCATACTTTCAACAATAAAGATAAAAAACAAGAGTTGAACAGAAACCTTGGGGGACCTCCCAGGTTCGGAGTGCAGTGCTAGAGAAACCTGTGTGCTTGCTTTTGCGTTGCCATGCATGGCTGAAAATGAAACAGCCGTTCTGTTGAGTAGAAAGTACAGGTTTGAGTAAGAACGGGAAGAAAAAGAACTTTCCCAACATCAGCTGCCCGGGCCCGATACCTGGACACACGCCCCAGTTTCCCATGTACGCCCTGCCCGTCCATCACTCTTTACACCATCAGTAATGACTTTGCACTTCTTCAATAATGAAAGCAATACTTCACTCGTCAGAAGACTGTGGCGTGTGCGTGTGGTTTCCCATCCACATCCGCCCCCCAAAATGTGTATGTTTCTCTGACTTGGGATCGACGTGACAAGTCACCCAAAGACAGGCAGTGACTTCAAAACCCACTTCTCAGAATAACTGCGTCTCCACGGGCAAGCCGGGCGTTCCTAACCGCGTACCTTGTATTTCCCTTTGATGATGCCCTCGAACAATCGCTCCTTGGTTCCGTAGAAAGGCAAGCAGCCGCTCAGCAGGATGAAGAGGATCACGCCGCAGCCCCACACGTCCACGGGCTTCCCATAAGGCTCCCTTTTGACAACTTCTGGGGCCATAAAATGAGGGGTCCCGACGCGTCCTACATTTAAAGCAACAGCAACAACATCAAGGAAAATTATTTACAAAAAGCAAGCCCCCCTCCCCCATCTGAAAACGGAAAAGAATCGAACAATAACAATCTGAGTGAAAAGTTTCTTCTACCACCGTGGACAGCCCCAGGCACGGGGGGGGGGGGGGGGCTCTCTCCGCTCATCTGCATGGAAGTCTACCCTGATGTGGAGAATGAGTGTTCATCTTGGGGAAGATGCATGTATTTTGGTTCAAGAATTGCTTGTAGGTGACAGAAGGAGGGACAATGGTAGGAAGAACACATGGGCGTGATCCTTTGGATTTTGTGCAGATCCGTAGCATGTAAAAGGGCTGGAGTTAACCTTTCACATACACCAATGTCCCGAAACTCCTCGTTTGCTATCTCTCAACTTTTCCTGCTGCGTGGTCACTTGATTTTACGACTCTGACCACAAAATTCTAAGAACAGGAAGCCAATCACCAAACCAAATGAAATGTCACTGTATGTGATACGCATCAGATAACCATTTCACTATTTAAATGTTGTATTTTCTGATAACATCCTGATCTTATTACCCGGAACCCCGCAGAGGGAACTGTGGTGAACGGCTGCGTAGGCCTGGCGTCTCCACGCACCCGGACCTTGTTACCTTCCTAGTTTGGGATGGCACCTGCCTACCATTTCCCGGTTCTTTTCACACAAGTTGCTGCACTGCACACGGTTTAACCCTTTCTGGATGCCGCGGAGTCGTCACTGAAGGGAGGGCTAGAGACAGGAAACCCCTCAGGAGTTTCAGGGGTGAATGCGCTCATTGTTCAAAGGCGGCTGAGCTTTCCCAGGTTTGGTAGCTGATGGACATCTTTCTCTGCTCAGTCCAGCCCCAGCTTTTCATTGGTTGCACAGAAGCTGTTATTCACTGGAAACTAATTAGGAACCAGCACCTTTCATTTCAGGACAATTTCCTAAGTGCCTACATCCCGACAGCTGCAGGAGGTGCTGTGGACATAACAGAGGGACAAGCATGGCTGCGCCGGACCCTCACAAAGCGTAGTATTTGATACGATTACAAATGTCGGCGTCCATGCGACAATATGGCAGGGGAGTGAGCTACCTAACGGGATGGTGAACTTCAACCTGCTTTTAAGACCAGATGATCGTTAGCTCAGGCCTCAACATCAGTAAGAGTGAACTAGACAGATAAAATGGCAAAAGGTGTTCCAACCAGGGGCGTAGAGGCACAAGGTACGCAGGACACAAATCCAGAACGCTTTTGGAAAAATGAGAGCTCGCCAGTGTCACTGAGAGTGTGTTTCTTTTCTAGTACAATTTTAAAAATATAAATTTATTGATTTCAGAGAGGAAGGGGGAGGCAGAGAGAGCAAGAGAAAGAAAGAAACATCCATGATGAGAGAGAATCATGGATCGGCTGCCTCCTGCATGCCCCACACTGGGGATCAAGCCCGCAACCCAGGCCTGTGCCATGACCGTGACCCATATATGTAAATGGTTTTTACTGTGTGGAACAGATAAAGGAGAAAATGCCTTTCTCTTCAGAGGACAATGTGGTGAAGTAATGATTTAAGGAATACAGTGATGACTCCTGCCTCATTTTCAGAAGCTGGTCTGTGTTAATGCTGCGTTGATGTTTTAGTGAATGAGATGGAGCTCAGGGCACCTATAAGAATCCACCTGGCCGGTGTGGCTCAGTTGGCTGAACAGTGTCCCGTGCACTGAAAGGTGGCCGGCTCAATTCCCAGTCAGGGCACATGCCCAGGTTGTGGGTTTGATCCCCAGTTAGGGTGCGTGCAGGAGGCAACCAATTGATGTTTTTCTCTCACATAAATCTCTCTCTCTCTCTCTCTCTCTCTCTCTCTCTCTCTCTCTCTCTCAGCAATAAAAACATACTTAAAACAAAACTTATAAAAAAATCAACCAATGAATGCATGAGTGGCTGGAACAACAAATTGATGTCTCTCTCTCCCGAAAAATCAACAAATAAAATAAAAAAGAAATGAAATAAAGTATCTTGTGCAACATTATTATTTTGATATTTATCACTGGTCAGGTATTTGAATTTACTATAAACATTCTTGAAAGATGACAGGTTTAAAAAGGTGCTGTTGTCCCAGCCAGTTTGGCTCAGCGGATAGAGTGTCAGCCGGCAGACTGAAGGGTCCTGGGTTTGATTCCGGTCAAGGGCATGTATCTTGGTTGCAGGTTCCCCAGCCCTAGTCGGGGCACATGCAGGAGGCAACCAATTGATGTGTCTCTCTCACATCAATGTCTCTCTCAATCTCTATCTCTCCCTCCCACTCTCTCTAAAAATCAATGGAAAAATATCCTCAGGTGAGGATGAACAACAACAACATGGTGCTGTTGATATTCCCCATGTTTCCTCTTTGTGAAGGCCGGCAGTATTGAGAGAGAGAAAGTAGAAGGAAATGACTAGAAGAAGGGAAGCTCATAGAATGGGGACCTAAGCAATTGCAAAGCTAAGGAACAGAACTGAAAACAGGACGGCATTCTGAGCTGGAGTCCATTCAAAGGAATAAACAGAAACCCAAACACTTGAATCTGTAATTAGCATCCACCTCCGTATGCTGGCGAAGTAAGCCTCTATTTCAGCTTTTCTTCGTTTTCTGGCCTGGGGATTTTCTCGTTATGTTTTGCTTTGGCTAATAATAAAATTAGTCTGCATTCACATCTGCCCGCTCTTCCCAAATACACAGATCAGGGCTTGAGCAGTACTCTGACAAATGGAAAAAGTAAAACAGCATGAAATGAAAAATTAGCCATAGGTGTAAGCCTGAAAGTACATAATCCAGACATTTTTTTATTTGACTTGTCTCTTCTTTGTTAGTGCTGGGAATACAAAGAATAAAAAGCCTAGCCCGGCTCAGTGGTTGAGCGCTGACCTAGGAACCAGGAGGTCAGGGTTCGATTCCCGGTCAGGACACATGCCGGGGTTGAGGGCTCCATCCCCAGTGTGGGGCGTGCAGGAGGCAGCTCAGCCATGATCCTCTCTCATCGTTGATGTTTCTTTCTCTCTCTCCCTCTCCTTTCCTCTCTGAAATCAATAAAAAATATTTAAAAAAAGACAACCTATTCTTAAGGGACTAAAATTCTAGTTATGACTACAGAGCTATTAAATTCAAAACTATACAATGGCACTTTTGGGGGGGTGGGGTAGGGTGCAATGGGTATAAAACATTGGAAAGAGGCTAATATCTAGTGTGAAAGTTTTACACCAGCCTAAAAGTGACCAGGTTTCGAAGAATATTTTTAAAAAGTGTGCTTACCTCCAGCTACAAGTCCGGACTCTCCTAACTGAATAGCTACCCCGAAGCCCCCGAGTTTGACAGGTGCCGAGTTTTCCTTTGAAGCGAGGAGAACACAGTGGGGCTGAAAGCAAAACAGACAAAAACACCAGACATGAGGATTAATTTAACATGAACAATTCAATGTACACAAAACCGAGTAACATGACCATAAACTAATACAGTAAAAACTTCTAGAATTATTTTGGGTGCTTGAATTCTTTGTCTTATTCTCACTTCTAGTTGACTTCTCCAAAGACTTACCTGTTCTATCTACTATTTTCTAGGAATTATTTGCTTCCCAGATTAGGGTACGGTGCTAAGGATTACTTAGGATTCTAATCACTGTGCTATGCACTTGAAACTAATGTAATATTGTATGTCAACTCTAATTAAAAATAAATTAAGCCCGATGGGTGTGGCTCTCAGTGGTTGAGCGTCAACCCAAGAACTAGGAGGTCATGGTTCGATTGCGGTCAAGGGCACAGGCCTGGATTGTGGGCTTGACCCGAAGTGTGGGGTGTGTAGGAAGCAGCCGATCCATGATTCTCTCTTATCATGGATGTTTCTCTCTCTCTCCATTTCCCTTCCTCTCTGAAATCAATAAAAATATATAAAAAATAAATTAAAGAAAGGAATTACTCAGGGAGCACAAATGCTTAATTAAGGAAGATACATTTTTTGCCTTTTCCATGCAACGTTCTCTTCCTTTGGGTGACAGTCTACACTTGCTTAAGGAAGAAATACCTTTGACACCTTGTGCTCAAATGTTCCCTGAAACCTGACTTTACTACAGTGTCTTGGCCTTCAGGGGATGCTATGGCCTTTCTCTTCTTTCTTCATTTCACCCCTAAGTAAGAAGAGTCAGATCAAATGACTGCAAGTGAGCCTGGTGCCTAGGGAATTCTCTGCCCTTGCCATGCCCGCCTTTCCTCTGGCCCCGCCCTTCCTCTCTGTGGGAAAGGGAGGTGAGACCGGAAGTGGGAGAGGAGACACTAGGCCTGTCTCTAGAGAAGAAACTGGAAAAAGACCTATCGATTATACAACAGTAGCCTAGCCATATAAATGCCATGATTTTGATCGTTTTACTGTACCGATTAAGAGAATTTCTTCTTTTGAGGAAATATATATAAAGAGGTAGATAAAGAGATAGATGAGAGTGAGAGACTGAGAAAGATAAAACAAAAGTGGAAAAATGTTAACCTACGGGGAATCTGAGTGAAAGGAGTCGGCAATTCTTTGTACTATCCTTAGGCTTTTTCTGTGAGCCTAAAATTATGTGGAAACAACCCTACCCCATTGTAAAGCCACTCAAAAGAATTCCTGTGGTCATGCTTTCGATTTGCTACGTGGTGAGCTTGATTTGTTTCCATTAGACGCTGACCTAATTTGGTATTTTAATTATGTAAAACATGTGCATAGTTCCAGGTGAAAACTCTAAGCCAATACCATTCAGAGAGGTCCAGCTTTGATCCCCTCTCCTCATTCGCAACCTCTCCTTTCTCATGGGTAACTATTGGTATCTAGAGATTTTCAGGGAGATTTTTAAAAAAAATCTTCATTGAAAGTATTACATATGTCCCCTATTTCCCCATTGGCCCCAGCTAGCATGGAATTTTGTTTTTTATTTTTTTAATATATATTTTTATTGATTTGAGAGAGAGAGAAAGAAACATCAATGATGAGAGAGAATCATGGATCGGCTGCCTCCTGCACGCCCCGCACTGGGGATCGAGCCCACAACCCGGACCTGTGCCCTGACCGGGAATCGAACCCTGACCTCCTGGTTCATAGGTCGACGCTCAACCACTGAGCCACACTGGCCAGGCTTTTGTTTTTAAACAGACATTTGTGCGCCGATGGGAGAGATTCGTAGAGAGGAAATACATTTCCAGGAGAGAGAGGGGATGGGACGGGGGTGCACCAGGGGGCGGGGGGCTGGCCCTGGTGGCAGTGAAGGCGGCAGGATGCGGGCACCTGCGGAGGCAGACAGATGTGGATGTAGAGATGAGGAAGTTCCCTTCTGAGAACTTCTACTTTCCATTTCCTTCAAAATCAGATGCGATCACCGAGTGGGAGTGGGACAGGGCAGGCGGCTGCTGGCAGTTTGCAGACAGCGGAGGTGTGCAAAGGATTTGCAAAGGACAGGAGCGCGAGGTGACTAAGGCGGTCGCTCTCAAATGGTACCATCAGCATCCCCCAGCCTTGCTGGCCTCCACCCCCCGCACGTCCTGATTCCTCAGGTCTGAGATGAGTGACGTTAATGCTACTGGTCTGGGAGCCATACTTTGAGCAGCACCGGGCTCGGGGAAGACAGCAAGACTGGCAGCAGTGGATTCACCTGAGGTCTGTGGTCATGCATCGGAAGTGAGACCAATCAGTGTGAAGTGTGTTTGTACCCCGCAGCCCTCCTCCTGCCTGGCAGCGTTTAGGCCTCGAGGAGGCGGGGAGCTGAACTGAACCGGGGTTGGGATTCAGATAGAGGACCGTGGTATCAGTTCAGAGAGGGCACCAAATAAGCATCTCCATTTATTTCTTCGTGTTCACGTTTATCTTTATATAAATAGAAACCTAAGATGCCAAAAAAGGAGGAAAAGGAAGGGTGAGGGGAAGTGGGTTTACAAGAATGAGGTAAGGGCCCAGCTGTTGTGACTCAGTGGTTGAGCGTTGATCTATGAACCAGGAGGCCATGGTTCAATTCCAGGTTAGTACATACGCCCGGGTTGCAGCCTTGATCCCTAGTGGCGGGGAGGGGAGGAGGTGCTGCGGGAGGCAGCCGATCAATGACTATCTATCATCATGTGCCCTTGACTGGAATCAAACCCGGGACCCTTCGATCCGCAGGCCAATGCTCTAGCCACTGAGCCAAACCAGCTAGGGCTCAATGCTTGTGTTTCAAAAGTCCATATAAGATACAGCTGCACAGGTAACTCTAAATCAACTTCTACTCTAGCTTTTCACAGTAGGTCGTCAACAAACCTTCTGAAACGTGAGGAAATAATGATACCACCCTTCCTGGCCTTCTGGTTAGCTACAAAATAAAGGCCACATTATGGACCTTAAAAAAAAGGAAAAGAAAAAAATTGTTCCTCAAGAACCAGCAGCTCTTGTAAACTACCATTTACATGTCTAAGAATTATCAGAAATTCATCTCAACATTGTCACAGCGTACGCATGCTCTAATGAGCTCCAATAACAGTTGTATCATGAGATAGAGCCTTCTTAAAAATGTAAAAACTTGAAATCTTGAATTAGCCATAGTGACTAGCATTTAATTATACTCATTAAATATGACTTTGCTAAAATTGTACATTTCAGGATGTAAAATGCATCGACAGAAAATGAACTTCTAAAAATTGGGTGATAAGATGTAACACGAATAAAGTGTTATATTTGTCGCATTCCATATAGTATGACACCACAGGTGTTCTTTTGTGATGTGTGAGTTTATGGTTTTACTTATCTATCTTTATCTCCACTATCATGCTTTATAAGTAATAAAACGTTTTAAAGGGAAAAAGTCTGAAAGAGAAAAAGCCCATTTCTAATGAGAACTTGTACAGCTTCTTTATTTTGAGGGGTGAGGGAAAACCTCATCTAAAAGACAGACATAATTCCCCCAAGTTCAGTGTTCGCTGAGATGAAAGGTGGGGCTGTTACAGAGCGGCGGGGGGTTGTCATACTGAAAAAAGAAAGAAAAAGAAAAAGACAAAAGCCGATTACCACACGAAGACAGAAAAAAAAAAAAAAAAAGCAGAAAGCCCTAACCCACGGCCCCACCGGATGCAGGAGGCCAGCTGACACACTGACTGTCTAGGGAAGTGCGGGCTCAGTGCCTTCCACTCCGGAGCCTGAGCTGTGAGTATCCCTTGATTTCTACTACTCAGAGGATCCTTTCTTCTAGTTAAAAGCGGAGAGATCTGAATACGACAAGGGAGGCCTGCTTTCAGAATGATGTCTCCGCCTTGATGTGACTGGTCTGAGTGAGGAGCCGGGGCACTGGACCCAACTAAGAGTTATTTGTCTCCGCAGCGGGTTTATTTCCAATGTATTGTGATTTTTTATGATTTCCAATTATGCATGATCTTTCACTTACTACCTTTATTAAGTTCTGCTGTCTGCCTAGTCTCGATGATAGCATTTTCTTTACTGTGCTGTTACTATTTTATGGTAATGACCAGATGTATTGCAGTTTAACTTTTGGGCTTCAGAAGTAAATAAGGGGACTATTAGAGAAAAGCAAAAGCAAAATGCTCTTTAGTTAATTCAGCTAAAGTTGAAAAAATGGTTTTTTAGACATAGTTAAGTTTATAACAAAACCTAATATGCTACTAACAGTATTTTTTAAAAATCCTCACCTGAGGATATTTTAAAAATATATATATTTTATTGATTTTTTACAGAGAGGAAGGGAGATGAAGAGGGATAGAGAGTTAGAAACATCGGTGAGAGAGAAACATCGATCAGCTGCCTCCTGCACACTCCCTACTGGGGATGTGCCCGCAACCAAGGTACATGCCCTTGACTGGAATCGAACCTGGGACCCTTCAGTCCGCAGGCTGACGCTCTATCCACTGAGTCAAACCGGTCAGGGCTAAATCCTCACCGAGGATATTTTTCCATTGATTTTAGAGAGGCAGGGAGAGGGAGAGGGAGAGAGAAACATCGATCTGAGAGAGACATATTGATTGGTTGCCTCCTGCACACACCCCGCCTAGGTAGGGCTGGGGAACCTGCCACTGAGGTACATGACCGGAATCGAACCTGGGACCCTTCAGCCCTTGGGCTGATGCTCTAGCCACTGTGCCACACTGGCCCGGGCTACCAATGGGATTATTTCCAGAGTAACATGCTTTCCATTTCCGTTCTGCACGCAGCAATGAATGCAGCTTCTGAAGCATGGCCTGAATGACTCAGTCTCCCTCACGATGCAGCCAGGCCTCAAGCGGTGCTAGGTCGCTGCTGCCACCAAACAGGTATGTCCCGTAACACAGCCATGCGCCGTTCTCGCCGTCACCCAAACTGCATTTCAAAACTTGCTCGCTCAAGGCCACAGGGGCATGTGCTGGGTTCATGAAGCGCCTA